GCAAAAGCGAGATTTTGACGACCGGCTGGCTAAACGAGACGCTTCTATGAAGCTTCAGCAGTCCAAGTTGAGAGAGATCTTGGCTTCTCAGAGGCAGCGGCTCAGGTTGTGCGAGACGGAGTTGGAGGCCGAGAGAATGCAGCTCCAACATGCCAAGAAGAGGATGGCACTGATGGAGAAGCAGCTGCAGGAGCAAGCTCGCGTCAACGTGGATTTGATGATTGACCAAGATGAGAATAACTTGAAGGCTACTGAAGAGGGGACATCTGGAGAAGAGCCTGAGGAAGATAAGAAGGATAAGGGGAAACAGCGCGCAGGCGCACCCGGTGGTCCTAATGGTGATCCCGACGACGGCGACGATGATGATGACAACCACGGTGAAGGTTCCAGCGGCGGTCCTCGAGAACCCGGCAAGAAGCGGACAGGAAGCGGCAGGATGTGTGGCTGTCCCTGCCTTGGGGCCTGCGATTCAGCAGGCAGGCCGATAGCGGCTAGACAAGAAGTCATCCACGACCTCGTCACGTTTTACGCCAAATACAGACGCTGCTGTGGTCGTAAAGCCAACATGAGGAGCGCCGCAAGCCAAACGACCGCCGAATCCGCCTCCGGAACGGAGACGGCGGAGGTCCCCGAAGACGACGGCCTTCTCCTGGTGCGACTGGCCGGCCTCCTGCACATGGACAGCGACACGAGAAATCGAATCGAGAACCCGCGCCTGAGCTACCTCGCGCGCCTCCTCCTCGCCTTCTGGAGCTGCATACGCATTCACGGGGTCGCGTGGAAGCAGACGCTTTACTGGCTGGTCGCCGGGAGCCTTTACTCGGCCGTCTACTACCTACCCGGCAGGCGCTGGAGGCCGGGTCCGCCAACGACTCCGTCGCCCAAGCTCGTGGCGCTGGCGATCAAGGACGCGATCACCTTATACTGGTTCTACTACTTGTACCAGGCGCTCATGGCGACGTGGGCCGTGCAGCAGGTCTACGATATGGCCAACGGGTACACGAGGGCGTACTATGTCGAGAGGGCTCTGCATCCGGAACGGTCCAGGTGGTGGGGTCTCGACGGGATCGACATGCGGCTTTCTGGGTTCTCTACGACAGAGCCTCCTGCGCCTGTTACTACTGACGATGGGGCGGCGGGCATCAGGAGGGGACTTTGAGGTTTGGAGGAGAAAAGAAATGCGTGAAAGTTTGTGCCCGTGGAAGGCGCGGGAGGCGGAGGACGGCAGATGAGAGGGTATCCCTCGGAAGCGTCTTGGCGGGGTATCTGTCAGTAGACGGAGATTTTTGGCAGTGAGCAAAGTTGCGTGTGGTAGAAGCTTTTCGTCTGATGATGGGCAAACGATAAACGGTGTTGCGTGTGCATGTCCGGGAAGTCTGCATGGAGCAATTGTTCGGATCGTCGGTTTAGGGTTCCACGGAGTTCAACGGTGTCGGGAACTTTCTGTGACTTGTTGTATTTGCTTACCTCATGATTGAATTGAGAGTATTGGTTCACTGGTTGTACGGATGAATACTGTTTTGGGAAATAGCAAAGGCAAAGAGATTTTGAGAACCATGGCATCATTTACCAGTCGACGATCCGTGTGTCCGCTCTTGACAAGGTCTTGACAGAAAACGAGAACGAAAGGGCTTTGCGTGACTAGCTGAACCGACCAGTGAGTGACCATTGAACAAACTGACGATGACCTCCGCTCAGCTCTGCGACGCATGATTTGGAATTCGGGGAACCAGGCCCATGTCGTGTCATTCACGTCCAATTTCCAGTTCCGTCCCGGGACCCTGGGCCACCATGTTATCTGCAAAAGAGAGAAGAAAAGATGGAAAGAAGCCGCACTTTACGGGGCGGAAAAGGGCCTAGCGCCCCGGGCGCCCCGCTCTCCAGAAGATTCCCACTTTCGGTCTAGTCCGGCGTCTGTGCCTCGGCCCCGTACCTGTTCTGTTTTGCACCTCTTGCTCTGCAACGGAACGACTCGTCTCCCCGGTTCCCATAAAAAAGGAAAGGAATCGGAGGAATTGTTTCGCGGAACCGCAAGCGCGCCTGCATGCTGGCAGCTGGAGAACGTTTTGGATTACCAAGACAAGCAAGTTAAGTGAAGGAACTAGGAAGGAGGATCCCGTCACCCGGCCCGGCACTTGCTGCATCAGCGGACCAGCACATCGAACTCCATTCGTTCGGGGCCTTGAACGGCGTCTACGATCCGCCGTCCCCGATTCTACCTCGGCCGCGAGATACCAAGCAGAGTAATATCGAGCTCTTTTCTGGAATTTGAGCTTGGGGTTAGCAAAAGACACTATTATGCTATTACAGATGGCTGCTGGCGCCTGGCTTACTAACAGCGCGGCAGTGTTAGTTAGTGTAGGGCGCAATGGAAGATGTCACTCTGATGCGGTTCCACCTCACACCACCCGGCCAGTGATGTCATGACTTGGGAGGGCCACGCCCAGCTCCTGTCAGTGGGCTGTGGTGGGAAACAACGTTCTGACTGACAGCAACCTGCAGAAGCACCCGCCGCGGCTGGTCCGGAGACCCAACTGACCACCCATCGAACACCAATTTGATATATTCGCATTCGCATGTCAATCCAAATTGTTTGTACAAAGACTTTTCGCTACAGCCAGAGGCTGATCGTCAGTCGACATCAATTACACATTGAGATTGAGGGTCTACGGATACAGCAAGACACAACCAGAAAGCGGAACAAAGATTGGCAGACAAAGGGCAAAGCTTGCCGAAACAAGAATAGAAGGAGAGTTCTGATTTGGTCTGGTCCTACCAAGAAGTTCATAGGACAGCTGAAAAGAAAAAGCTCGGCCGACCCGAACAAGGCATTCGAATCTCATTTCCCATGCGCCGGTCACCCCATCGGATTCCATGAAACGTCTTCTCCCCCGACTCAGCACCATTTCCCGACCACACCCGGACGATCTCTCTCCTGCGCGGAACTCATCCCAATCACCTATCAAACCGTTCCCAGGTCACCTCTTGAAAAAAACTGGCGAGCCCAATTTGCTGACGGCATCCCCCACTCCCGCGCCCTCCCACCTCCCCAATTCTAGAACGTCGTCTCCCTCGGACTTGGACCCTTACCGTAAGGTACATACATCGAATTTGAAATGGTACGTGCTTTTTTAGCTTGTGAACTTGCCTCATCCCAGCAGCCCGCCGCCCGCCATTACCTCATATATAGGTAGTCGATCACCCTCCTCACTGAGCACACAACTCATAAAGAGCTTCAAGATTTGCTATTTCACACCTCGTCACGCACGTTCGCATTTCTAATCACGTTCCTCATATAGAGACTATCAAGATACCCGGCTATAACAGCCCACGCCCGCACCCTCAACCCCTCACGCATCCATCGCAGAGCATTCACAGCAACTCATAACCCACAAGCTCGTTCCCAAGCGCAAGAATCCGCAGGAGGGACCTCATCTCATACCAACAACACAAACACCAATTCGCAGTCACCAACCCAGGGCCAACACACCCTCGACTCGCCAGAGCAGCAACTCAAAGATAACCACACCAACCCCCTCAAATCCGCCAAAGACAAAGTTCACAACCTCACAATGTCTTCAAAACTCATCCCCCAAAACCCGGCAGACGTCATGGTCATCCGCGACCTGACCCCAAACGTCACAACCTTCTCCGTCCCCTTCTCCCGCTTCGGCACCCTCAAAATCGGCGGCCGCGCAACCCTAGTCCGCCTCACCTCGGGCTCCCTCGCCGTCTTCAGCCCCGTCGCCCTCACCGACGCCGTAAAAGCCAAAATCGCCGAAAAGGGCGGCAACCTCGCCTACATCATCGCCCCCGACATGGAGCACCACATCTTCATCTCCGAGTACAAGGCCGCCTACCCGCAGGCCAAGATCATCGGCCCTGACGGCCTGCCGCAGAAGCGCGCCAAGCAGACGGGCGACCCCAAGATCAACACGTCGGACGAGTTCTTCGTCGTCTTCAAGGACGGTGCCGAGAAGCGCAGCACCACCATCACCCCCGAGTTTGACGCCGACTTCGAGTACGAGTACGTCGACGCCCACGCCAACAAGGAGCTCGTCTTCTACTTCAAGCCCGAGCGCGTTCTCATCCAGGCGGATCTGCTCTTCAACTTGCCCCCGCGGGAGCAGTACTCCAAGGCGCCCGAAGGCGAGCGCGACACTTCCTCCGGCTTCGGGAACAAGCTGTTTGGCGGCCTGCAGACTACCGAGGGCGACGTCAAGTGGGTGAAGCGCTTCCAGTGGTACGTGATGAGCAGCAAGAACAGGCCGAGCTTCAACGAGAGCATCCAGAGGATCGATGCGTGGGACTTTGATACGCTCATCCCTTGCCACGGAGATACGATCCAAGGCGATGGAAAGGAGAGGTTCAGAAAGGTGTTTGAGTGGCACCTGGCTGGTACCAAGAAATGAAGTAGGAATCAGTGTCTTTTCTTTTGATACTGGGGACAGGGGATGATGATTTCATGGTTTGCATGACGGCGCTTGTGTTCACTTTGGCTCGATACCACGTTAGAATCTAATAACTCACATGAAAAGTATAATTTCGCGATTTAGGGTTCATATGTCATGATATTCATGGACAGCATGGTAAAAACCACGAGTCACTCTGGTCGGTGAAACTGTATGAAGCTGTTCTCTTATTGATTACTCGCATCATTATCCTGCCTCTATCACTGAGCCTTGTTGAACTGATGACAAATTGCGATTACGAAGGATGAAGGCAGAATGTATGCCTCGCTAGAAATAATGGGCATTTCACATTCTTCGTCTTGCCTCGTCTCCCTTCCCCAAAACTTCCCTAGTGAATGACCATAAACCTCCTTCCGAGCATATCATAGCGCATCTTGTGCTTGGCATGAGCCAGTGAGCAACAGAGCAGCTCTGTGATGATTCACCTCAGGGTTTGTTGCTTCACTAAGTCAGTAAATATATCAGAAGAGAAGAAAGTGAGAAACAGATACCTAACCGTGAGATGGAGTTTCTTCTTAATCGGGCTTCTCAAGTCCTCGACGTTGGTGTGAGTTTCCCGGTGAGAATGGCTTCTCTTACTTGGCCAGTAGAGACCACCTGGACTATGCCACGGTCCTGAGTGAAGTTGGTGTATTGAGAAGACCACCAGAGCATCATGTTTGCCAGCCTTTGGTATTTTCTTGACGCCAAGCTCACGGAGTTTGCTGCTTTAGGACGCTTCTTATCAAGGAATAGAGCCCAGGCAGCCTCGCCAGCGATGTATCCCAGAGCAGACATGGAACAGATTGGGTTCGTGAAGGCCTTGTCGATAAGAACGAGAACACGGACCTTGCTCTCGTAGGACTCCAGCGCAGTCATAATCCGCTTCTCAACAGTGAACATGACTGTTCTGGCCAGGAGTCGACAGGCGAGGATGCAGAGCCGGACATTTAGTTCCAAATCGGCTTTAGGGACATTCCATTCAGTGGTGCCTTTGTAGAAGTAGTCCAGGAGGTGACGCATAAGCTCCGGTTCAACGTCTTCAAGAACCATCACGCCATCTTTGTTCTGCTATCCGACGTGTCAGTTATGATTGCTTCATATAGAGATGACTGGAATAGGGCAACCTGGAAATCGTCGTTGAAAATAGTTTCAAAGCGCCGGGAGTGGCCGGCGAGTAATATCTTGTGAACGTTGATCACTTCTCCCCGACAGATGAGTTTGAAATCCGACAACCTGTCGGTTTCAATCATCCATCGATGATCCTCTTCGGCCATGTTGCAAGCCTTTCCGGTTGGGTTTTCTGAGTAAAGGTTGGTCTGTGGCAAGCAGGTGTGAGATAGTGGCATAATGAGAATGAGAATGAGAGTGAGATGTGGGGACGCTTTGCCGCAGAAGAAGAGGGTGAAAAGTAAGCAGGGAATGATCAATTGTTTTCCAAGTGGAGAAGGAAAGCCTGGGGGCTGAAGTTGCCTGAGCTACTGATGAGAAGGCAGGTGCGACTCTTGAAGTTCGCAGGGAAGGAACGTGGGAGAATGGAGATCAGATACTTCCCGATTGAGGAGGCTTTGCAGACGGGTACTTTGTTGACGATTCGTTAAACTGCAGGTTATTTATCATGAACAGAATCTAGAGAAATAAAGTACGTTTGTCAATATATAAATGCGAAAAAGTTATATCAATCGCAAGCAGTGCACCTCCGTTGGCTTACATGATCGCAGACATGTCATGAATAATAGGTCTGGCTTTGCGGATTGACAACACCACTCCTAGGCAGGATCTTCTTAATTCTCGCCATTCTCCATTTGATCTACAGACAAGGAGATTCTATGCGAGAGGAATGCCGTACACATATTTATTACATTGTGACGAGTTCTGGGTTACCCATCGGAAGCTCTACTAGTTCACGCTGCTCTTCTGCGACAAATAGCGACTATTATCTCATTCGGTTCAAGTCCCGCTGTATTCAGCCTTTCGCAAAGCCTAATCTAAGGCTTCTTTGCATGTCATGGTCTTCGGCGCCGGTGTATAAAGGTCGGCGGTGGGGGACTTAATCGGTGCATCTAGATTGATCGGATCATGAGGCTTGATCCACATGCGTTGCACAGCCAGCTGGGCCAATTTGTAGTTCTCCATCAGCTTAGCAGCTGCTTTATAGGCACCGCCGTGGACACTACCAACCCATGGGTAAATCTAGCTGGTCTCGTCGTAGAAGCGTTCGTAGCTCGCCCCATCGTCCCCGAGAAGGTATCTTCTGGGTTGGTGCATGTAGCATATCATTCTGCTTTGCATACATTTCCATGCTACCCAATATGACAGGCATCACGGCCAGTAGCTGCCCTCTCACACCTCGATATTATTCTCCTCCTAATACACGGACAGTAAGTAGAGCTGAGAACTGGACAAAGAAGGAGGTCGATAAAAAGAGGCGTAGCTTTCTTTACTAGATATATTTCAACTGCCGCAATGATTTTTGCGACGAAACCGAATCTCTGGATGATCAGCCGCCCTCAAGACGGACGGTATGACCCCTTTGGATCGTCTTGCCAGCATTCAGCAAGTGATTCCAACCGCCCATTATATACCAGCGCCCTAGAATATGATTTGCAAACCAGCTTTGGCTGAGGCTCTGCGCAGCTCACCAAATACACCGACTCTTCGAAGGCCCTCCCATATTGTCACTTGCCTCAGATAAGAATTCAGAACAGTCGAGCGGTGCCCATACATCCTTTCTCCTTCCCATCGAGTAACTTTCACATCACATCCCTCCTGCATGATGTTCGATTCTCCAAAGGCAGACGGGACAAGAGGCTTCTCCTTCCTCGAAACTTGATATCGCATGTGGACACACACCATTACCCATCACGCAAGTGGAGGAAGAAATACAATGTCAGTAAACATCCGGATCTTATTCTCCAACACGCTCATGCAATTACAAAGATTCGAACATCAAGCCAACCGCCCACGCACCACCGTATGCAACGCAGACCCAAAGCTCAAACGACAATGCGTAAGATAATCCCCCTTGCCATGGCTCCCTATTCCTACCCTTCATCGTCGTCGCCTCACGTTCCTCACGTTCACGCGATACATAAGCAACTTTTGCATGGGAACAACTTCTTTCGAATTGTTCCGGCCAGCCGCTCGCCTGTCTCTCTCCTTCTCTCCTCAGGTCCTCGCCCTTCATCCTTTCTCTCCCGAGTCCTATCCTACTCACTTGGCAAGCCCTTCCACATCCAAGCCTTTGCATGCGGACGAACTGCTTTCCCAGTCGAACAAGAATCCTCATCCAAGTAGAAACAACCATGCCAAATAGAACCACGTATCGATGGCGAAGCAGGATTGCCTTCACCCCTTCTACATGAAACATCACGCCCGACACCGTCGGCCCCGGAGATTGGCGCCCAACAGGGAGAGCGCAACCCTCTCCATCGCCAAAAGGCTGCCACGGATACGGCTGAAAAAGAATTTCTTGAGTCAAATCACTCTGGTATCGATCTTTAAAACATGTTTTCCCTCAGAAGACGGATGAGAAACAGCTCACTCGTGGAGTGAAATCAAGGGATTTCGGATCTCCTGTTGCTCTTCCAGAAATCGATGGCTTCGACAACGTCCTCTCCCTTCTCATCTTCATACGCAAAGATAATCTGTAATTTGTCAGTGAGGTGCGTGATAAGCGGGAGATAGGAAGCATTACCTCATGCGTGCTGCTGTGCAGCATCCGAATGTTCTTGTGCGGCACAATATGCACAGCACCATTCTCAATGTTCCTGAGTTCGATAAAGTTCTGCTCGAACGCCAGAATCCACGGGTAGCTAAGAGCGAAGCTTCCCGGTGTACCCTCCCAGTCGATCCGCCATTCAGGTCTCGCGCGCCATCCATTACGATTGACGAAGAACGAGAATTCGGAGTAGTTGAGAAGGAACTCGCCGTTGAGGCGCTCAATGTGAATCGGCTTGACATTCTCCTTTCTTGCAACGAAGTCGAGACTCGTGTCTGCCTGGTCGAGCAATGATTGCGTCTCAAGAGTCTCAAGTGAAACCACCTCAAATCCACGGGCACATGCCACACACAACTTGGACTTGAGGAAGTGTACCGACGATGATTCCGTGGGAATGTAGAACTCCTTGAACGGCTTGAGCTCGTCTTGTCCAGCAAACATCTTGCCGAAGCCCTTTTGCTTCTTGCCCTTCGACATAGCATCGTTGGGTTCATACACCTTTATTGTAGTCGAGAGAGCTGAGGACTTAACGCAGCACACAAGATGTCTGCCGAGGCAGATGCCTGTCTTGAAGAAGTTGCAGTGACTCTGGATTTTCTTGGGTCGCTTCGAGAGAGCAGGTTCGTTTGGATCCAATGCTCCAAGCGGGTACGAATAAAGCGCCTTATTAGATAGAACCAGAAGGAGGCCATATTCCTCGAGAACATCAAGCTGGGTGACGCTCGTTGTCTCAATGACACGCTTGGGCATCGCATCTCTGCTCTTGCGATCAGAAAGGTAGATGCCATTGTCCGTGCCGTACAGCAACTTGCGGCCACCATCGTACGGCGTAACGCAGTTGACTTGGTTTGTGCCCACAAAGAAGCCTGTGGAGATTACACTTGTGTTGAAGAAGTCGGCGCGGGCTCTCAAACGTTGCTGGGCGCTATCAATAAACTCGAGCCACTTCTTACGTGCAGCCTGGTTAGACGCGTAGAGCGTCAGTTCGTACCCGGCTTTGCCCAAGTGCCTGAATGTGATCGGCCAGCCTTCGCTCTTTTTATTGTCGTTTGTGTTGGCTCGAAGGGCGGGAAGCAAGCTTGATGAAGATCGCTTCATGGCACCGGAACCTGGGATGACCTCTTCCATTTCACGGATAGCGAGCAGCTCCAAGGGGATCGGCCGCCTGTATGCCTTGATTTCTTCGCCCTTGCCAGCCTGCTTGATTCTCACCAGAAGGACTGCGTGGTCGAACAAGAAAGCAGTGATCTCAGACGCGTCTTGCGGTGTCTTCTTCAACTGACTCTTGAATACCAACTCTCTGCCTTCCTCCGTCAATCGTAGATCCACCCTCTCGTTTGGCCGGAAGCGCAGTTGCTCATGGAGTCGCCTCAGGTTGAATCTGTTCTCGGCCTTTCCTGACTCGGCGTTGACTCTCGTCAAGAGGTCGCGAATCAACTTGAGCACCTTGGGGATGTCTTCCTTGTCAGAGCTACCGTCCTCTGTGTACTTGAGCACGTTTTCCAGCAAAAGTGGGTAACGAGCCAAACGAGTCGTCGGCTTGGTGAGGTAACCATTGAGTTCCAGCTTGCGTGACTCTTTTCGCCGTTCAATCTCATCAACAAACTTGGCAAAGTAGGGGTTGGCGGATCGTTCATTCTCAAATTCGAACTTGGCCTCCAATTGCTTGGAACCATACCAAATAAATGGCTCGAACTGAGGTACACACTCGAGGAAAATGTCGCCAATAGCACCAACAACCGGGTTCTTCTGTTGCCGCTCTGTCAACATCTTGGCGAATTTTGCGCTCACAGCATGCAAACTTGGGTGATCGACAATATTGCTGAAAATGGCCTTAACAACCTTCTCCCTCTTGTTAGCAGGAATCGGAGAAGCCTTGGAGCGCAGAGGCAGAATCCAGAAGTCGCGCAGATATTCCAGGTCCTTCACGAAATCTCTCTCGGTGTAGCAGATTTCTGAAATGACTTCCTGCCTCTTCTTCTCCCTGTCGCCGATGCTGTCGGCCACTTCCTTCGGAACGGAGTTGATCCATAGCTTCTGTTCATCGGTCTGGTCGACATCATCTTCATTAGAGACGTTCTCAGACTCCTTCTTCAGGCCAGGCTGGATCTTCAGGTTCAGCCGAGATACCTGCTCCAGTCTGCGAGGGCACGCAATGGAGTAACAGAGCTGATCTCTTGTACAAGTCGGCGAGTAACACTCGGAAAGGAGCACAAAGACACCATCGACCGCAGGTCTCTCCTCCGTTTCTTCCATCAGAGTTTCTCGGAATTGGTACATTTCTGACGTGGAGTCTCGCAAGCGATGTTCGTAGGTGACGTCGTGGAAGAACTTTTGGGCATCCAGAGCTCGTCCCAACAGCAGCGCCAAATTCCTGTCTGTCGTCCTAATAATGTACGACAAGACATCCACAGCTTCGGCACCACTGAAGGCGTTCTTATACGTGAGCTCGTTCTTCGTCCGGTCGCCAGTAATGATCTTTTGCCGGAAGCAGTCGGCCACTCGCGATAGCAGTGCGGGATAAACCAGGGGGGGTCGAATTTTGCCAGTTGGAGG